GATCATTTGAAACTGGAATTACTGACAGTTGTTAGCTGTCATGCAGGTGATGGGAACCAAACCGGAATCCTCTACAAGAGCAGCCAGTGCTCTTAACCACAGACTCATCTCTCCAGCCCCTGTTTTATTTTGGTTTTGAGACAGGGTCTCACTATGTAGCCTTGGCTGTCCAGGAACTTACTGTGTAGACCAGGCTGGTCTGAAATTCACATAGAAATATCTGCCTCTGCCTACTGAGTGTTGAAATTAAAGGCCTGAACCACTATGCCTGGCATAGTTTCTCTTGTATTTTTCTTTCTTTCTTTTTTCTGTCCTTGAACTCATAGAATCTTCCTGCCTCAGTCTTTTGGGTTCTAGGATTTAAGGCATATATTACCATGCCCAGCCAGAAGGGATTTTTAAAGCAGAGATTATAATAAACATCCCAGAAGAGGCGATAGTTTTCATGTGTATAACATTTAAACACCAAAACAAAAAAAGATATCTCTATATATAGATATATAGATATATATATGGTCTGAACTCCATATGTAGTCAAAATTGGCTTTAAATTCCTGATCCTCCTGCCTCCACCTCCCCAAAACTGAGATTACAGGTATGTACAATCATACTTCATGTATACAGTGCTAGGAACAGAACCCAGGGCTTCGGGTATGCTGGGCAAGTATTCCACCAACTGAGCCACACCCCAGCCCCAAAGCTACCTAATCTGCTTATTTGTCTATCGCTCCCCAACAAGGTATAAACACAAAGGTCAATCTATTCAGGGAATGTGATTAGTAGATTAATAGAATATTACTATTAGAACTCATGGCCAGTGTTCAAACAACTCACTTTCCTTTTTCCTTCAACCAGTCTGGATTCTTTTCTTCTTCTTTTAAATCACAAAATTCAGGAATATCAGTATTCATTGCTCTTCGTGCCTCAGCTTGTTTACACAGCCACTAAAATGAGAAAGTATCTTAGGAAGGCCACTGTGTACATGCTTAGTGTAACTGTGTGTGATGGTCAGTGTAAGAGTGTGTGGTGGTTAGTGTAACTGTGTGTGATGGTCAGTATTAACTCTGTGTGATAGTTAGTGTTAATTGTGTCTGGTGGTCAATATAACTGTGTGTAATGGTCAGTTATAACTGTGTGAGATGGCAGTGTAACTGTGTGTGATGGTCAGTGTTTTCTGTATGTGATGGTCAGTGTTAACCGTCAAGCATCTGGAATCACCCGGGAGAGAAGCCTTTGGGCATTATCCTGATTACTGTTAGTTGATGTGGAAAATCCATGTTTTTGGTTTTTTTTTTTTGGTTTTTTTATCTTTTTTTGAGACAGGGTCTCCCTGTAGTCACAGCTAGCCTGGATTCACTATGGAGACCAGGCTGGCCTCCAACTCAGAGAGATCCACCTGCCTTCTGCCTCCCAGTGCTGGGATATGAGTATATGAGTATATGAGTATTTTTCCTGCATGTATGTATGTGCACCACATGGGTGCAGTGCCCAGAGAGCCAGAAGAGGGTTTTAGATCCCCTGGAACTAGAGTTACAGACAGGTAAGAGCTGCCGTGTCAGGGCTGGAAACTGAATCCTGGTCCTCTGCAAAGGCAGCCAGTGCTCTTAACTCCTGAGCCATCTCTCCAGCCCCAGGGAAAACCCATCTTAACTGTGGGTGGGACTATTCCCTGGGCAGAGGATCTTAGGCTATATAAGTGGGTATGGGCTGCTGAGCCACAACATGCATGCATTTATTGCACTCTTTTTCCGACTGAGGACAGAATGTGACAGTTGTCTCCCGCTCCTGCTGCCCTGACCTCCCGTGATGATAGACTGGTTCCATGAACTCTCTGTGAACCAAAATAAACCCTTTCTCCTTAAAGTTGCTGTGTGAGAGTATTTTATCACATCAGCAGGAAAAGAAACTAAGATATTGTCTTTTTCTATTTTGTGCTGCTATACAAATACCCTAGGCTTGGTACTTTATGAAGAAAAGAGGTTTATTTTGCTCATAGTTTTGGAGCAAAGTCCAAAACTGGATGACTCTACCTGGGCAGTTTCTGTTGTTAGCCTTTTGGCTCTGTCATAGCATGGAGGCATCATGTAGCTGGAGCATGTGGGAAGGAGGGAAGGATGGAAGGAGGGAGGGGAGAGAGAGAGAGAGAGAGGGAGAGAATCCTATATAGCAAGACAGGAAAGTAAAAAATGGGAAAAGGGCCAGTCTTTCTCATTTATAACAACCTACTCTGGTGGGTCTCCACTGTAACACAATGAGGTGGTGGCACCTTCAGAAGATGGGGTCTAGTGGAAGGAAGTTGGCCCACTGAGGGGTGAAATTGAAAGGGATATTAGGACCCTGGCCCCTTCTTTTAGCATCTTGGTTGCTATGAGGTGAATGGATTTTCTCCTCTCTGACAGTGTGCCTTGTTCCAGGTCCAAAAGCAACAGGGCCTACCAACTACAGACTGAAGTCTCTGAGAGCTGAGACAGGTAAGCCCTTCCTCTTTATAAGTTGATTTTCTCAGGTACTTTGTCACAGTAATGGAAAGCCAGAATATACAGGGCAAACCATATTCCAACCACAGCAGACATAAAGGTCTCATTGAAAACGAATTATTATTGTGTGTATATGATATGTGTGTATGCATATGACATGTGGGGATGCATATATACCATAGTGCATGTGTGTAGAGGCCAGAGGACAACTTGGTTTATTTTAGCTCACAGTTCATGGTTCCATCTATCATGATGGGAAGGTCAGGGCAACAGCATGATGCAGCTGTTTACATTGTTAGCAGTCAGAAAGAAAAAGGAGGGGCTGGAGAGATGGCTTAGCACTGGCTGCTCTTGCAGAGGACTTGAGTTTGGTTCCCAGCACCCACATGGTGGCTAACAGCCATCAGTAACTCCAGTTTCATGGAAAAAGATAGCCTCTTTTAGCCTCTACTGGTATTGCATGCATGGGTGAATTTATATACATGCCAGGAAAACACTCATCCACATAAACTAAAAATAAGTAAATTAAAACCTTTTTTTTGTCTTTTTTGAGACAGGGTCTCCTTGTAGCCCCAGCTGTCCTGGAACTCAGTATGTAAACCAGGCTGGCCTTGAACTCACAGAGATCTGCTTGCCTCTGCCTCCCGAGTGCTGGGATTAAAGGCGTGTGCCACCACGTCTGGCATAATTAAAACATTTTTTTAAATAAGATAAAGTAACAAAGAAAACTAAGTTTATAAATTGTTGTTATATCTTAAGGGACCTCATTCATTTATTTAACTTTATGATTGAGAGAGTAATTCATACCTTGCAGTAAAAAATTAATAATAATATGCTTATGTAACTAAAGAAGCCATATTTGACATCCAGGGCTCAGATGTTAATAAATGAAAGAGGTATTTCAACTCTAAAATATCATAATGTTATAGAGGCTGGAGACAAAATTCAATGGCAGAGTGCTTGCCAAGCAAACAGGCTCATTTCAATCCTTAATGCCACACCACAAAAACAAATTTAAAAGAAAAAGCAAAAAGACTGAGAGCTAGAGATATAGCTCAGTTGTTAGAGTGCATTTGGTAGAGTACATGCTTAGCATGTACCAAATCTTTGGTTCAGTCCCCAGCACCACATAAAACCAAACTACGTGGTAGTCCTGTAATCCCAGCACTCAGGAGACCAAAGTAGAAGAATCACAAGTTCAAGGACAGCTTGGGATACACAGTGAGTTTCAGGCTAGCTGGAGCTACATGGTGAAACACTGTCTCAAAACAAAAATCTAAAATTAAACACACACACACACACACACACACACACACACACACACTTGGAGCTGGAGAGATGGCTCAGTGGTTAAGAACACTGGCTGCTTTTGCAGAGGACCCAGGTTCAGTTCCCAGCTCCCACATGGCTGCTAACAACTGTCTGTAACTCCAGTTCCAGGGGATCCATCACCTCTCTTCTGGCTTCTGCAGATATTGCACAACATGGATGCACTTACATACATGCAGGCAGTACACTCATACACATAAAAATCATAAATAAAATAAATAAACATGAACAACAACAAAGAAAGCCAAAGCCAGTAGTGATTTCAACAGGTACAATAAAGTCAAGGCATTTCCTTGGTGGTAATGAAACTAAAGCAAGTCCATCTACCTCCTCCTCTTCAGCTACTTGTGACTCTCGAAGAGCAGTTGGGAACACTCGAGGAGTAAAGCTGATCTTAATACTGCCGACGGAGCGAGGAGCAGGAATGCTGTCATCCTCAGAAAATATGTTTTCCGAATTTCTCCCTTCAAAAACAGTGGTAGCACACAAGTCATTCCTCATTTCATTAACAGGTTGACCAGGTTGACTTTTCTTTCTTTCTTTCTTTTTTTTTTTTTTTTTTTTTTTTTTTTTTTGAGACAGGGTCTCCCTGTAGCCCCAGCTGACCTAGAACTTGCTATACAGACCAGGCTGGCATCGATCTCACAGAGATCCACGGGCCTCTACTTTCTGAGTGCTTAATTCTAAAATCTTAAATGAATAAACCAAAGACAGGATTAGAAAGATGAATCAGAGGGTAAAATTTGCCATGCAAGCCTGGCAACCTGAGTTCAATCCCTGAGACTCATATAAAAGTGGAAAGAAGAGAACTGACTCCACAAAGTTGTTCTCTGACAGTTACATGTGTGGCATGACACCTGTGTATGGGGCTGGAGATGGTTCAGTGTTAAGAACACTGGCTGTTCTTGCAGAAGACCCGGGTTCGAATCCCAGCACCCACATGACAGTTAACAACTGTCCATAATTCCAGTTCCAGAGGATCCGACGGCTTCTTCTGACCTCTGTGGGCATTGCACGACATGAATGCACTTACCTACATGCAGGCAATACATACATACAAATAAAAATAATAAATTTTAAAAATGGCAAAAATTTTTTTTTTCAAGAAAAGGTTCAGATTAATAATATCCTTGAGGGAAAATTTCTTACATACAAGCAAGAAAAAATAAAGCATCTTCGGCTACACAGGGAGTTTGAGGACAGCCTGAAGTGCAGGATACCGTTTCAAACAAACAAAACATAAAACAGATGGGCCCATGCTATAATAATCCCAGTCCTTGGAAGATGGAAACAGGAAGTTGAGGAGCTTAAGGCCATTCTGGGCTATAGGAGACCCTGCCTCAAAACAAACAAAAAAGAAGGTAAATTAGTTCATTGTCATTATAGACACCAATTACCTGGCTCTTTCTTCGACACCACCCTTCCATTTAATGAGTTTCACGAGATTCACGCAGTGTCCACTCTTTATTTATCTTGTTGTGTCTACTTTATATGAGGAGTGTACAACATGTACAAAAACACTTAGAGGGTGATGCAGTCAGTGAGCCAGGCATGGTGCCACATGCCTGTAATTCCGACATCTGTGGCCAGAGGATCACAAGTTCCATGATGCTCAGAGATACACAACACCACCCTGTCTCATTGCCCCCATAACCCAAAAAAGGTGGGTTTTTTTTTTTTTTGTGTGTGTGTTTTTGAGATAGGGCCTCCCTGTAGCCCCAGCTGGCCTGGAACTCACTATGTAGGCCAGGCTGGCCTTGAACTCACAGGGATCCACCAGCTTCTGCCTCCTGAGTGCTGGGATTAAAGGCATGTGCTACCACTCTCGGCCCCCAAAAAGGTTTTATCTTATGTCTTCCTATTGCAATGCTTATTCTACCCACTAGAACATAACTGATGACTGCAAACAGATTTATAAAAAGACAAAGGACCAAAGCACCATCTATCCCAACAGGACTCTGTCCCGAACACCATCATTCTACCTTGTGGGGGACGATGGCTGGATGCTGAGCTTCTAGTAAAACTTTTAGGTTTTGCTTTTTCTCTTTCTTCTTTAGCTTGCTTCTGCTGACATTTCTCTTTTCTCTGGATTCTTTTCTGCTCTTCAGCTTCTCTTTGACACTTTTTCCAGACTTCCAATTCTTTAGTTGCTTTCCTTCGTTCATTTTCTTTCATATCTTCTATTTTTTTCCTCTCTTCTTCTTCAATCTGTAAAAGTTGTAATTACCAAGTCCTTTAAAATATATAAAAAGTGGGGCTGGAGAGATGGCTCAGTGGTTAAGAGCACTGACTGCTCTTGCAGAGGACCTGGGTTTGATTCCCAGCACCCACATGGCAGCTACGAACCATCCTTAACTCCAGTTCCAGGGGAATCTGAAGCCCTCCTCTGATCTTCGCAGCATTGCACAACACGGGTGCACTCACATACATGCAGGCAATACACTCATACACATAAAATAAAAATAATAAAAAAATATAAAAAGCAACATTTCTATTGTGTGTGGCATGTGTGATATGTGAATGCATGTATATGTGTATGTGTTCAGAGATTGCATATATATATTGCATATGTATGTTTGTGGCATGTGTGATGAATGTGTATGGTATATGTGTTTGTGTATGTTTATATGCCTGGCAGTGTATATGCATTTGTGATATATGTGTATGAAGTATATAGGTGTATAGTGTGTATACATATATATGTTCATGTGAGTGCCTGTACCCTGGGATAATAGCCATGTCCCACCATACCAGGTTTTAATTTACATTGAAACAGTGGATGTGGAGTGGCTCTAGAATCTATTCATCTGTGTGTCCTCTCAAAGATGAGTTATTAGTAACTCTAAGCCACTAAGCTGGGGGTTTGCTAGTCTATGCGTTTACTGCTGTCCTTACCTCCTACGGGTCCACATGTTGGAGGCATAGCACCTAGTAGGGTGGCATGTGAAGTGGTGGGACCGTTAAGAGGTCAGTGGCCTCAAGACTAGGGGTGCAGCTCAGTAGCACAGATTTGCCTTGCATGTGGGACAACTAGGCTTTGACTCCTCAATACTGAAAAAAAAAAAAGATTAGTACAGCCAAATGGGCTGTCCTGACTGAGAGAGTTCCAATGGTAGTCTGACACATTTTTTTTATTTTGTTTTATGTTATGTGTATAAGTGTTTTGCCTGCATGTATGTAAGTATACCACATATGTGCAATGCCCATGGAGGTCACTAGAGGCCATCAGATTCCCTGGAACCAGAGTAACCAATCATTGTTAGCCACTATGTGGATGCTGGGAACTAAACCCAGGTCCTTCGTAAGAGCAGCAAGTACTCTTAACCATGAAACCATCCTCTCTAGCCCCAATGATGTTAAGTTCAGACTGACCTCAAAATCAAGATCCTCCTGCCTCAGCCTCCCGAGTGCTCCTGGCATTACATACATGTGCTACTAATTGGGTCAGTTTTGTCTTTTGTTTTGTAACTTCACAGCTTCGTAGCTTCGTAGCTTCATAGCTTTGGCTGGCCTGGAACTTGTGAAGTAGACCAGGATGGCCTCATAATCATAGACATCTGCCTGCCTCTGCAAGGATTAAAGGCATGTGCCACCATGCCCAGCAAAACACTACACTTCTAACACATTGTCTCCAACATGACCCAAGGTTGTCGGGCAGCATGCACTGGCATTGTGTATATGTACTGTGCAAAAGCAAACACAGAACAAAGTGCCCATATTGTGGGTTCACAACCAAGGCTGTAGTGAGCTTTGTGTAATCCAACACAGGTGAGCACTACCAGAAACACCTTAGGTTCATTACATGTTTGATTTTGATTTTGAACTAATTTTTGGTCATTTCCCATTAGAAATCTTTTACTGTTGTCAATTTTTTATATTTACTTTTTAAAATGTGTGCCCATGTGCACACACATGTGTCACTTGTATATAGGTGTATACAGGTCAGAGGACAACTTGTGGGAGTCTCCTTCCACCAGGTGGGTTCTAGGAACTCGACGCAGGTTGTTAGGCTTGGCCACAAGCATCCTTACCTGCTGAGCCATTTGCAGGCTCTACTGGTGCCACATTTTTCCCAGTCCCACTTTCTCACATTTAGTTAGTGACTCCATATGGGGTCAAGAGGCTTTGGCCTTAGGAAAAAACAGAACAAAATAAGCTGTGGTCTATAGACCATAGAAAGTCCTGTAACCAAATGCTGAGAGAGGACTGTGACTGGAACTAATTCTCTCTCTCTCTCTCTCTCTCTCTGTCTCTCTCTCTCTCTCTCTCTCTCTGTGTGTGTGTGTGTGTTTATCACTCGGACCTGCGTGTGTGTGTGTGTGTGTGTGTGTGTGTGTGTGTGTGTGTTTAGTACTAGGACCTGAACCCAGGCTTCAAGCATACTAGGCAAGTACTCTACTATTGAACTGTACCCTCATGGACTTGAGCTCATTCTGTAGCTCAGGCAGGGCTTGAACTAGCGATCCTCCTGGTTCACCCTCCTGAGGAGCCGGGCAGCACGGGTCACCAGGCCTGGCTGACCCAATCATCTTTCCACGGCTCATCGCTCTCTCCTTCAACGAGTGCCTCGCCAGTCTGCAGCTTACCTTCATCATGACACTCAATGCGTATCTCTGATCCTCCCGCTTGGCTGCAGCCGCTGCTTCTGTAGTCTCTTTTGCTCTCTCTTGTGCTTGCAAAATAGATTTTTCTCTTATTGTCCGCATCATCTCTTTGTCAACTAAAGCATAAGGAATAATACTAAATCAGGACTGGGACAAATTTATTTTATTGAGGAGAAAAATGATTTAACATACTAGTTCAGGATGAGATTTCTTTCAGGATGAGATTTCTTTTGACCCAATTTCATAAGAAGTCAAAAATTTTTTTTTGCTTTTGAGATAGCATCTCACTGTAGCCCGGGATGGTTTCACACTTGAGATCTTCCTGCCTCGGGAACCTGAGAGCTGAGATTACAGGCCAGCATCACCTGGAGGGGCCACAACACCCAGAGGAAAAACATTTGGGAGTTTTGGTGTGACTTTTGTTTTGTTTTTTTCTAGCAGTATTTTATTAATATTTTAAGTTAACATACAAAGCAATGGACTTCATCATGCCCTCTACCTGCATGTTATACTTTGTTGTTACTCCTCTCCCTACTACCCCTTTTCATCCCTGTCACCCCTCCAGCTGCTTCTCTTTCTTCCCTCTATCCCCCTTCAGTTTTGTTTTTTTGGGTTTTTTTGTTTTTTATTTTGAGACAGGGTCTCCTTGTAGCTCCAGGTGGCCTAGAACTTGCTGTGTAGACCAGGCTGGCCTCGAACTCACAAAGATCCACCTGCCTCTGCCTCCTGAGTGCTGGAATTAAAGGCGTGTACCACCATGCCCAGCCGTTGTTTGTTTTTTCAACATATTTTGTTTATTATTTTTATTTTATGTGTATGAGTGCATTGTTTGCGTGTATGAGTCCACACGTGTTGTGCAGTGCACACAGAGGTCAGAAGAGGGTGTGGGATTCCCCTGGAACTGGAGTTTAGGATGGTTTGTAGCTGCCATGTGGGTGTTGAGAATCAAACCCAGGTCCTCTGCAAATGCTCTTAACCGCTGAGCCATCTCTCCAGCCCTGTTGTTGTTTTTGAGACAAGGTCTCATGTAGCACAGGCTGGTGATCCTCCTGCCTCAGCTTCACCTGTGCTTGAAATACACCCAACTCAGGTGAACAGCTTTCAATAGAGAACTTACCACCTGATACACAAAGGGTCTCCCACATGATTGGTTCTTTTTTATATAAAGTGAAGAGAATCATGTCATTCCCAATCTTGGCTTTGCTGTTGGCATCATCTATGGGAGCGTAGAGAAAAGCCTCAAATAAAAATGGAGGAAAGTTGACCTGTTCAGAAGGGAGAAGGCAGATACTAAGTTAGTTACACATATTAAAGGTACTGCTGTTTTAAAAAAAAGTTTGTTGGGCAGGGCACGATGGCACATGCCTGTAATGCCAGCATTTGAGAGGCAGAGGCAGGCAGATCTCTGTGAGTCTGAATTCAGCCTGTAGAAACCCTGTCTTTAAAAAAAAAAAAGTATGTTGGGCTGGAGAGATGGCTCAGTGGTTAAGGGCACTGACTGCTCTTACAGAGGACCTGGGTTCGATTCCCAGCATCCACATGGCAGCTATGAACCGTCCTTAACTCCAGTTCCAGGGGCTCCAAAGCAGCATTGCATGACATGGGTGCACTCACATACATGCAGGCAATACACTCATACACATAAAAATAATGAAATTTTTTTAAAAAAAAACTATGTTGGGGCGGGGGGGGGTTAGTTCTGGCATGATGGCACATGCTTGTAATTGCAGCACTCAGGAGGATCAGAAGTTCAAGGACATCCTCAACTATATGGTGAGTTTAAAGCCAGCCTGGTCTACATCAGACTCCATCTCAAAAGGTACAGTTATCTCAAAGGTCAACAAAAATTAATTCTAGGTAATAAAATTTAGCAAAGTATATGGGGGGAGGTCTATGAAAGAAGTAATGATAAAGGTGATTTCTGACCCAATGTCTCTATAGATGACAGGTCACTTATAGGAGGTTCTTTTTTGTTGTTGTTTTATAGGTTTTTTTTTTTTTTTTACATTATGTGTATGCATGTTTGTGTGTGGGTATGTGCACATGAGTACAGGTGTGTTTGGCTGGAGTTACAGATGGTTGTAAGACACCCAACGAGAATGCTGGGAACTGAAATCAGGTCCTCTGCAAGAGCAGTATGTGCTCTTAACTACTGAGCCACCTCTCCAGCCCATTTTTTATTTTCTATTACATTTTATCTTGTATGTCTGTGTGTGTGCATGAACGTGCCACGGTGCATATGCGATGGTCAGAGGACAGCTTGAGGTAGGTAGTGCTCTCCTTCCACTACGTGCGTCCTAGGGGTCAAATTCAAGCCGGCAGACTTGGCAACAGGTGCTTTACCTGCTGAGCCATCTCGCTCATCCCAGATTCATTTGTTAAAACAGAATTTTAAATTGAGTGGTGCATCCCTATAATCCCAACACTTGGACGTCCGCGCCCACCTTCAGGTAACTTTCCGTGCAGAACACGTCGGCATCTCGAGCGCACACGCCCCGCAGGGGCAGCGACAGAAGGACGGCAGCCGGGGTCTGCTGCCAGCTGATCTCGCCCACCTGCACCGGCATCGCGGAGCGGGACAGCCTGGCGCTGTGCGGCCGCCCTGTTGCTAGGGAATCGTGGAGAAGGACGCTGCGCGGCCCTTCCGGGTCAGGGGCCCGGCGGCTTCCCAGCATGCCCTGGGCTCCCAGAGGGCTCGGTCTGCGTTGGCCGTGGAGCGTCTGTTAGGGCGGTTGCTCGCTTGTCTGTTGGCCTGAGAAAATGGCCAGAGAAGTGGAGCAGGCTACGTCTGCAAGAGAACGGCAGCCTGGGGATACGGCTCCGCTGGCCTAGCTTGGGGAAGTTGGGGAGAGGAGGGGCTCGGGGCCTTAGGATGCAGTGGGATTCGGGCTGGCATAGCTAGACTGTACACCCCCATCACAGGTGTAACTCGTGTACCTGACCTTTGGTGTGTTTTGACCGCTTGTGGCGTAGTGTGGTGGCCTGAAGTCTCAGCACTTCGGGAGGCTGAGACAGGAGACTCCACTCGGTTATACCCTGGGATACACAAAACTGTCTCAAAGCAACGTTTGATGTACCTATTTGAGGACTGTCTCTGTCATGCATCCTGGGAGAACTGTGTCCACTTCTGTTCTTCTCCAAGCCTGCAAAAGCTCTTAGAGTTCACCCCAAAGCTTGAGTCCTGGAAACAGGTCACTTATAGGAGGTTCTTTTTTGTTGTTGTTTTATAGACTCCGTGGCTTACAAATACTTTGCTATAACTCAATAGTAGGATATGGATTTACCCTAAAAATTTTTGCAGTGCCTTAAGAACACGTTGAATTTGAGCGGTGCAGAGAAACCTGCAGGTCGTGCAGCTTAAGCCGGTGTATTTAAGGAGTCTGAGCCACGTACACTTGAAGCCACTGTCAGTGGCAGAACTGAGTGAAATCCTGCTCCAACTCATTCCGAGTGTTCTTTCCCCACACTATTTAATGTTGACTTAGTTTCTAAATGACTGGAGTATGATATGAACAGTAAATCTAGTTAAGTACCAGAAAAGATATTTGCACATAGGGATTTGGATTTTTAATTTTGTTTTTACTTTTTTTTTTTTGTCTTTTTGAGACAAGGCCTCTCTGTAGCCCCAGCTGTCCTTGAACGGGTTATGTATGTAGACCAGGCTGGCCTTGAACTCACAGAGTCCGCTTGCCTCTGCCTCCCGAGTGCTGGGATTAAAGGCATGCGCCACCACACCCGGCTGTTTTTCCTTTTGGAGAGCATTTACACAAAGTTTAAAGCTTCCACAAAATTCATTGCAGAAAGTTTAGAAGCAGTACACTAGAGGGAAATATCTTTTTCCCAATTGATGAAAAGTTTATCACGACAAGTTTCTGGCCCTTTTGAATGCTGGGAGCCATCTTAGACTGCTTTAGTCCCTCTGATCTGAAAAAGCTATGGATCCCACAGACTGGCTCCATGTTCTTTTTTTTTTTTTTTTTACTTTTTATTTTTATTCCAAAGAATGAAAAATTTTAACACATTTTTTCCAGAAATAACTTGAAGCAGGTTACATAAAAATATATATGCAATGAAGTTTGAGGGGGCGTAT